TCCAAATAATGAATGTGCCTTTCAAATATTTTGGCTTGATTTTTCTAAAACAAAAGTCATAAGTCAATTTCAGATATTCAAGTGAAGCCATGAGTTTGCCATGATAAGCAATTATAAGCACCCCACTGGTGCTGAGAGTCGGAACACCCTACTGGTGTCGAGCGATTATAAATACCGATATTATGAGAACACCAATGGTTGAGAATGTGCACACGTGCTTAGAGTTTAGATGTAACACCCCACTGATATACACATATCATGTGAGCTAATAGTAAAAAGGGTGAAAGGAGGATACGACGCTAGGATACTTGTAGGATCTTGTCACTAACATGACATGCATTTACTAGCAAAGAGATACCCAACTAGGCACGAAGTCAAGTAACATATTCATGTGGCAAATGGAAGTACACTGTTAACTTCATTGGGAGAAAATTATCACAGAACCCTGATGACTAGACAATGGAGGAAGATGAAGGATTTGATCTGTTAAATCCAATGAATCACAAATAGTCGATTAAGGAGTAAACAAGCACAAAACTTCCATTTACCTTGGATACTTACAATGCCCAAACCTAATTCAGGAGGTATCCAACTAGAGAAGTTTAAATAGCGCGACGAAGATATGACGTCAAAGTTCATGCTTCTTTAAAAAATTATCCAGTTAGCCTAGGTGCCTAGCCGTCAAGAAGGGGCACTCATGTTATCTGTCATCAAGACAAAGCCTTAATCTCTTGGTGCTCGTGCTCAGAAAATGCAAATCCCGGAGGAAGGAGTTTGTAAATCATATGTGGGGGCATAATAAATTCAACGAAGTCCCACAATCATGAAAAAAGAGACAAAAAGGAAGCAACAAAAAGATTGTGGGACTTACAATTTTGATGCCCCTTCGATACCATTTAAAGCCAAACCACTCCGGAAAGTCAGGATATTTGCCAGCCAGTATCCAGAAACAACAAGATGGAATCACAAGCAAAAGCTTACGAGTAAGAAAACCCATGTATTCACCACTGTTTCACACAAAGATATCCTCAACATACCACTCTAAAACAAAGGAAGAATTCATTTTCTCACTACTTGACCTTGCCCCTAAAAGTCAACATCTCTAAATGAGGGGGAAACTAAAGCTGAAAATGCATTCCCAGAAGATGACCAATACTTACCACTATTTGCAAGGAAAAAAAGACTTCCTCAATGAGAAAACCTACGAACCTGACAACAATCTCCTATAAATGAGTTAATCTCATAATTCGGGGGCAAGCCAAAATCCCTTATCATGAAGATTCATATGAATGCGACTAGACTCACTAAGAGTTTATACGCGCCTGGGGGGTGTATGTTATCAAAGTCACGTAGCAACACGATCAATCCAAAGATTGAATGAACTCGAATAAATAACAATGCATTCTGAATACGAAAATTGGATAAAACGAAAAACGAAAGGGAATTCTTACACCTGGAAGAACGCACAATCGTTATGGTGAAGCTTTCGATATAATCGAGTGTGATTTCTCGATCAATAAGCAGGTCAGCAAGTTTTTATCGCAACCAAAACCCAAGAACAAGTTCACAAACTTGAACAAACCAAACGGTTTCGATTTCTTTTCAACAACGTCTTCTCTCCCTTTTACAACGTAAATTGAAGCTATTTAAAGACAATGAAAACCTAATACAAACCTAATAGAACTAGGAAACAATTAAGGTAAAAGTCTACACTAAAATGAACACAAAATTCTGATTTAAACTCTCTTTCTTCAAGCGCAAGTAAGTTGCCAGTAAACAGTCCAAACGCATCTTTCGTACTAACTTTCGTTCGAGGCCTTCCAGAACTCCAATCTTTCATCCAGTTCCTTACCTTGGTAGATAAACATTCCTATTTTCATGTTGTAGAAGCCTTTGGACTTGAATCCCTTCCATGCCCCTCGAATTGAGCTCCAAAGTAGGCTTCACAAAACAGTTTTCTGCCTTAGCCATTTTCTGGCAGTTTCCCAGTTTTGAGGTAGCAACTTTGAGGCCTTGGAAAATAACTTTAATGACTTTTTCTGGATCCAAAAAGCATACCATTATAAAGATAGTAACTTTATATTCAAAACAAGCTCTTGAACTCCAATTTTCAGTGATCCAATTGTGAGAACCATGCCTCCAAAGTAGGCATCTTGAAACTGTCCCAACATTTAACCAAATTCTGCCTTTCTTCTTCCTAACTTTGATAGCTTCTTTTTCATGTAATTGTGACGTGTATAGTTGTCCAATTGGGATCATAACAGGCTCCTCCTCTTCAAAAAAGCTTTTCCCTCAAAGCTTGATCTTTCCTCTCGTCAAAATCATCACATAATTGATCCCAAATTGGATCGAAAGTAGGCTGCTCGATCATCTTTTTCGGCAGAAAAATTACAGCTGCAAACTCACCTTCAAGCTTCTCCAGGGACTTTAAAGCTTGCAGAGTTATTGGGAACCCTTATGGACTTGAAACAAACCTTCCCCGACGTCCAATTTAACTTAAACACGATCAACACAATTTCCAGGTCGCCGTACTTCTTCTGCGTACATGTTCATGCTCGAACGAATTGGGGATTTTGAATTCCGACATTCCCAATCCAATTCAACGACTCCAAGCTCTTCTCCAGGGTTCCAATTGAATTTTTGAACCCTTTCTTAGTCTCGATTCATTACCATCCTCTTCAATTCCTCGTGTCCCCTGCTCCCGCCGTCGACCAATTTTGAATTTGTGAAGCCCATAAATTTCCATTCAGATTTGGGCGTTTGTGATTCTGACTGTGCGGGAACAAATTGATTGCTTTTGAACGTTCGTTGGCCTTCCTTGGACGAGTCTACATCGGCGATTTGGCTCAAATCGTGCTGGTTTGATCCACCCAAGAGAGGATCCTCGTCGGCAGTGTTCTTCACGAACAGGGGCGATTTTTGGCGAATTGATTCTGGGATTTGAGGTACGATCACCTCCAACAGAGCTACTTCTGACGTTTCTGGGGTCTTTGGGATCGTGTCGACACCGGCGGCGAGGTTCAACTCTTCGGCGGTTGTGCCAACCACGAGAGCCGTCGGCACTCTCCGGGTTGATTCGTGCATCGACAGCTAGTTCATGGGCTTCTCCTCACGCTACAATTCCTCCACCAACATCCACGGATGCGTTACTAGGCGAGTTGTGCGCCGGCGTCGCCTCTTCATCGTCAGCAGGACTGTTGGCGTCGATGCTCTGTTTTTGCGGCGAAAAACAGGGATTATCTTGCTATGGCTGGGCCTTTGCTTGATCGACCTTCGATAGCCATGATTTCTCTAGTATAGCCTTCTGATACTCCCCTTGGAGTCGGTGAAGCTCCTTCAAATCGTCGACATCTGCCTCCGGAGCCAAAGGGTTGACGACAAACACCTTGTTTTGACTCTGAATACGAAACCTCTTGCTCCGTCGACTGGCAAAACAGACTTGACGATCTCTGAACCATGGTTGTCCCAATACGAGGCTACTAGGAAGATTGAAAGCCACGTCGCATAGGATTTGATCCTTGTATTGGCCAATCGAGAATTCCACGACCACCTAAGACACTACGATGCTGGATTTGGTTTCGTACGGTGATTGGAAGATGTAGGGAGTTGGATGAGGCTGTAACTGTAATCCCAGCTTGCTCACAACCCTGCAAGCAATTAAGTTCTTATCCCTTCCTCGATCGATGAGCACCAAGCCTAACTGATCATTGATTAATCCGCGTGTGAAGACCATCGATTCTGCTAGCTCTTCTGCCGCCATGTGCTCTGTTTTTGCGGCTGAAATTGCACACAAAAACAGCCTTAATCAATCCTTCTTCTTCGCCCTTGTGTAGAACGGGGCTCTGATACCACTTAATACTACCCTGGGGGTGTATATTATCAAAGTAACGTAGCTAACGACTGAACCGAAGGATCGATTGAGCTCGAATCAAGAACAATGCGTTCTTAATACGAAAATTGGATAAAATGGAAGCGAAAGGGAATTCTTTCACCTGGAAGAATGCAAAATCATTATGGTGAAGCTTTCGATATAATCGAGTGTGATTTCTCGATAAATAAGGTCAGAAAGTTTTGATCGCAACCAAAATCCAAGAACAAGTTCGCAAACTTGAACAAACCAAACGGTTTTGATTTCTATTCAACGTCTTCTCTCCCCTTTACAACGTAAATTGAAGCTATTTAAAGACAATAAAAACCTAATACAAACCTAATAGAACTAGAAAACAATTAAGGTAAAAGTCTACACTAAAAAGAACACAAAATTCGGATTTAAACTCACTTTCTTCAAGCGCAAGTAAGCTGCCAGCAAACAGTCCAAACGCAGCTTTCGTACTAACTTCTCGCCTTTCGTTCGAGGCCTTCCAGAACTCCAATCTTTCATCCAATTCCTTACCTTGGTAGATAAACATTCCTATTTTCATGTTGTAGAAGCCTTTGGACTTGAATCCCTTCCATGCTCCTCGAATTGAGCTCCAAAGTAGGCTTCACACAACAGTTTTCTGCGTTAGCCATTTTCTTGCAGTTTTCCAGTTTTGAGGTAGCAACTTTGAGGCCTTGGAAAGCAACTTTAATGTCCTTTTCTCGTCACTCAAAGTCACATCTCGAGGAAAATATAATTCCATGGCAAGAAGATCCTCACGATTAAGGTCAGGTTCAACCAGCAACCTCCTTTTAGGAAATATCATATACCTCCACCACAAGACCATATGAAGACCCCCAAACCAATCACACAAAGTTCTACCATGTTGAGTAGGGGTGGCGATACGGTCCGGTCCGGTTAAATTGGCCCGAATTGATCCGGTCCCAGCCGGTCTTTTTGGTAATATGGGGACCAAATCTTGGATTGGGTACAATCCGGTTTTGACCCAGTCCGGTCCCCAATCCGATTTTGACCTGTTTTGACCCATTTTGACCATGTTGCATAAAATTCAGCAGCATATACCCATTTTCCTGGAATGTAGACAACCTGTTTGTAGCAAAAATTAAGCCAAACATAGTCCAATACAAAATCACAACCATCATTCATGTCTATTACAAACTCAAAGTCGAATTCAAACTTCAAAATAAAAATAAAGTGCATTACAAGTTCACAACCAAAGTTTAGACATCAAACACCAAATTCACTCCAAAATAACAAATTCACCAAACCATTTCTACTCATCAAGATCAAGAGAAACAAATGAAGCATTAGATCCACCTCCTTGATTTGTTCCACTCCTCGAGCCAAACATATCACTCCCTCCGACATTGCTCGTACTTGTACCTTCGTGTCCACTCACATGCTCACACATTTCCACCTCATCCACCATAATAGCATTGTAAACTAAATGACATGGATAAAAAATATAATTGTTAGCAATAGCATTTATATGGCCAAAACTAAAAACTACAAAGTAATTTACTTACCATTCACGAAGTCTTCTTGATCCTCATAATCATCATCTTCACCATCAAGATGCTCCACAAACTCACTAGAACTTGATCTAAGCCAATCTTGACTGCATATGAGAGCTTCCACAATCTTAGGATGCAAAGAGCTCCTTAATTCATCTAAAACACGCCCACTTGTGCTAAAAACAGACTCAGAAGGAACAGTTGACATAGGAATAGCAAACAGATCCTTTGCCATCTCACTCAAGATGGGATACATCATAGCATTAGTCTTCCACCACTTCAACACATCAAACTCTTCTTTGGCATCATCATCATCATATTCTCGAGGATGATCAAGATACTTCTCCAACTCACTCTTAGTATGACCAGCTTGAGGTTTTCCATAATCATCATCAGGATCATAATCATCATAAGATTCAGAATCACTATCTGATCTTGGTGAACTTGAAGTGGCAACTTGTACTCGACGTTTTGTAGGAGAAGGAGCAGGAGGAGGCATCTTACTCTGATAATATTCAAACAAATTCTCAAGTTCATCATTCAATTCTTTCACCAAAACTTTTTCCCTATCCTCTCCACACATCTTCTTGAAAATATGATCCGGATAATTCATCTTATGCCTCGGATCAAACACCACAACCATGTAAACCAACCTGTTCAATCTGAAGTTGACACAATCCTTCTCCGACCAATATTTGTCAACTTTTGCCTTCATCTTCATACCCATCCTAACTATGTCATCATCTGTGCTATTCATCATTTTCTCAACATGATAGAATACCCTTCCAAACTGTCTCAAGAATCGATGAGCAGTCACAATAGAAGTAGTGGATGCAATCAAAGTCAAATCATGAAAGAATTTCAAATACTTCATCAAAACTTTTGCATTCTTCCAATCTTCATGTTGAGGGACACCAATTTCTTGGTTCTTGTACCTCTTTGCCTTGAGCTCAGGTCTGTAATCCTTATCCTTCCTCTCAAGACTAGAGAATGCATCTTCAAACAGCACAGCAGCTTCAAGCATGTAGTAGGTGGAATTCCACCTTGAAGGCACATCTAGACTCAACATCTTCTTGGATTCAATGTTGTGAAATTCCACAACTCCTTGAACTTTTCCAATCTAGATGGTGATGATCTAACCCATCTCACAACCTCTCTCACCCTCCTTATTGACATGCCCATCTCTTCTAAACCATCGCTCACAATCAAATTCACTATATGAGCAATACACCGCATATGAAGGTACTTCCCACCAACTATATTAGTACCCCATTCTTCAAGTCGATCTCTCAAATGAAGAAGTGTCGTGTCATTTGCACTTGCATTGTCAACTGTGACTGTGAAAATATTTTGCAAACCCCAATGCTCCAATCAATCGGCTATTGCATCACCTAGATCAATCCCCTTATGACTTTTAATCTTGCAAAAACTTATCACCTTCTTGTACAACTTCCAATCCTTCCCAACAAAATGTGCAGTGATGCACATATAGTTGAAATTTTGACAAGAAGTCCAACTATCGGTAGTTATGGACACCCTTCCTCCACACTTGATCTTGAAGTAATCTCTTAAACATCCGACAAGCACGTGCCATGAAGCGCTTAAACCCTTCTTTCTCCACGCTCCTAAAAGGCATTTCATCTAGAGTTATCATTTCAACTAACCCAGCTCTAATAAATGCTTGATCAAATTTCCAAGTCCCCAAAACTCCTTGCCCTTCAACAGAAGTTGGATTGAGTTCTAGATTCAACTGCTTCCCTTTTCTTTTTGTTTCTTTAAGCACCTTTGAGTATGCCTACCCAAAGAACTTGTACCATTTCCCGAGGGATCCCCAGCCAGTGGCTTTCCACAATAATGACACCTTGCCTTCTTCTTGCCTTTAACATCTTTGTAACAATCATAATGCTGCCATACAGATGACCTTAACAAATACTCCCTATTTGTCTTCTCCATTTCAGGTGTTGTTGTGGTGTTGGTAGCTGCTGGTCGTTCTTGTTCTTGAGTGGCAGCGACTTGAACATTAACATTTCCACTATTATTCCCACTTTCAATAGCTTCCTTTGAAGCTTGTGGCTTAGTCGCTTCTTACTAGGAAGAGGAGGCAAATTATCATCTCCTCTTGATGTCGGTATTCGCTTCTTAGTACCCTGCACAAAACAATTCAATCCATTGAAGAACAAACTAAAACTAATCGATAATAAACTCATCCAGCCTTGGTATATCACATTCCACCATTCCAATCATCAATAATAAACTAAAACTACTCATTAATAAACTAAAACTACTTACCCAGCTGCTGCTCCCTTCCATTTTTTCTGAATTCGGCAGCTGTTCCCCAAAAGTCGACGGACGTCGACGAGATTGGACGGAGGGCGACAAGATTGGACGGAGCTGAGCCGACGTCGCGTCGTTGTTGGGTCGGCGCGGAGGCGGGTCGTCGCTGGGTCGGCGCGGAGGCGGGTCGTCGCTGGGTCAGCACGGAGGCGGGTCTTCGCTGGGTCGGCGCGGAGGCGGGGTGGCAGGCTGCGGGCGGCGGGCGACAGGCTGCTGCTGCATCTGCTTTGTTCAGCGGCAGCGTCTCTGCTTTGCTTTGTTCGGCGCCCGAAGAAGAAGATGGAGTGGAGACTGGAACGAGACTCACGAGGACGAGAGGCAGCGCCTGCATCTCAATCTGCAACCAGCAAAGAGCAAACCCTACAAACTAACAAAAGTGTAAATGGGCTCCTATGGGCCGCCGAGTAATGGGTTTGTTTGGGCCCTCCGGTCTTCCGGTTTTTACACGGTTTTGACCCGGACTGGATTGGTCCGTTTTTTTTGCTAATTCTGAGACCAAAGACGGGATTGGATTGTTTTATATCCGGTCTCGGTCTTAAAACGGTCCGGGTTTTACGGTCCGGTTTCCGGTTTTCCATCCGGTCCCGGTCCAAATTGCCAGCCCTAATGTTGAGAAAACCTGAAGCTCGAGCTCAACTGAACAACAACTGGAGCAAACCTGTCATGGTAGCAAAGTCTCGTAAACTCAAAATACCCATAGAAATGAGTGAGAAAGAAATCAGTAGTGAGAATGAAAAGCGAGGGCTTATGGATACTATCATGACTTGATCTACTAAAACAATTTTGCACACACTTTTCTCTATCAAAGTTTTGATATCTAAAATGAGTTTCCATTATTAACAAGAATTTTCAAACGTTGGTGCTTTCATCCTGAGTCGAGGTTGATAAGGATAACTTTTTTTTCTCAAGAATTGAAAAGGAGTATAGATCTTTGGGGGCAAAATGGGGGCAACCCCGAGGAAGATCAAGAAGCACAATATACTTTGCCGCCAAGAAATACACAATCCCATGAAGGACTTGTGCGACCCACCTTGGGCATAAAGAAGGAGAAGATAGTACAACCTCGGAACTCCTGTATCTCAAATAGACTCAATCAAAAGTGTAATTTGAAAAATCCAATCATGACAAGATAGACCTCAAGATGATAGATCTTCTAAACCAAGCAAAACGTCACTTACATCGTGAAAGACGCCACTACGGACAGGCCACCTAGTGAAGAAGATTACTCCAAACCCTAAGCCTCGAAGTTCGAGTTTTCCAGTCACCATACATCAAAGAAACAAAATACCCAATATCCGAACCCCTACACCATAGATGCGGACACTCAAGAGCTCACACTATCGAGTTTCAACCACAGCTAAGGATCAATCTACCAAAGACAATGACACAATTCCTGGTGAATGATCATTTTAAAGAAACCCATGACCAACAACAAAACAATGTATTTTTTGCATAACATTCATACACATCATCATTTGACATGACATATCATACAATCATTTCTAAAAACATGTTCATCTTTACTTCAGACATGTAGTGAAGGTTTAACCAGAAAACAATAATTGCATGTTCTGACTTATCAAAGTCTACCAAGAGTCCAAAAAATATCGCGTCTAATTTCATACTAGAAAACCTTAAATCCCCACGTTGGCGAACGCTATATAAACACGTTCTCGCATCAGCGAGCGCTATGGAAACACGTCCCCGTGTTGGCGAACGCTATATAAACACGTCCCCACGTTGGCGAGCGCTATAGAAGCACATCCTTGCGTTGGCGAACGCTATAGAAACACGTCCTCCTGTTGGCGAGCGCTATAGAAATACATCCCCGTGTTGGAGAACGCTATAGAAACACGTCCCCACGTTGGCGAGCACTATAGAAACACGTCCTCGCGTTGGCGAACGCTATAGAAACACGACCTCACATTGGCGAGCGCTATAGAAATACATTCCCGCGTTGTCGAATGCTATATAAACACATCCCCGCATTGGGGAGCGCTATAAAAACAAGTCCTCGCGTTGGCGAACGCTATAGAAACACGTCCCCGTGTTGACAAGCGCTATAGAAATACGTTCCCGAGTTGGCGAGCGCTATAGAAATATGTTCCCGCGTTGGCAACCGCTATATAAAAATGTTCCCGCGTTGACGAACGCTATATAAAAATGTAAATTTATCGCGTTGGCAAACGATATATAAAAATGCAATTTCACGTATTGGCAAACAATATGAAAAAACGTAAAACTCGCGTTGGAAAATGCTATAGAAAAATGTGATTTCGTCACAATTGGCATTCATAATGCAAACACAAGCAACTACTGGGAGTTCTAACAACAATCAATAATCACTTTTTGGAGTACATTACAAAATCATTAGTAGAGTCTACAAAATGTGCTGTCTTTTTCATGAACTTAGTATAACTCTTTATACAAAGAGATATACAAAGGGGAACAACTGTACACACCACATTTTTTCTGGTTATTGATGTTACTTGTGAATGATGGTCGAATCAAGAATTATAACGAGATTCGTCTTTAACAAATTCGGAGTTCCTTACAAGTACATGATACCATTAGAAAATTTGAACACATGTACGATTACAACACATAATACAATGGTTCCTTTTACTCCCGTTGTGTTCCTTGTGAAGATTTACTCAAATATGGAAGCCCTTAATACGAGCACAGGAGGTGCTTGTTTTGAACAGAATGCGCAGCCCAATTTCAACCCAAGAATGGATCGAAATTTCGAATCAAAACGTAAAACAAAAGCGGACCAAAGGTGCAATCTTTCACGTGGAAGAAGGCTCGATTGGTTTGAAGCGAAGCTCGGCCACGATTGATACATTTTCAATTGATACGAAGCAACTCGTTGCTTGAACTCAACCAACACACAAGCTTTTTGGGAGACAAGTCTCGATTTTATTCATAGAACTCAAGCCCTTACACGAGGCTTCAAGGCCCCTTTAAATAGACTTCTACAACCTAATTCTACTGCCAAACGAACAAGGAAATCGTACTCTATTTCTAACATAACAAGGAAACAAAATCCCAACACAAAAAGGAAACAAATTCTAATTACTTCTTCCCCAAGCTGCTGCCTTCCTGCACAAGTAACCAAAGCAAACTCCATAGTTACTTTGGAGCCCTCGTTCATGGCCTTCCAAGGGTCAACTACCCAAACTGGATTTATTCGTTTATTCATGTGACCTCGTATTTCAAATCCCAACTCCCAGTTTCCATCGATAATGATCCTGCTGCGTGGATTAAGCCTCCATAGATGACAGCTCAAGCGGGTTCCAGACTTAGCCACAAAACATACAGTTTTCCATTTTTTCATAACAACTTGAGGCTTCTTGTTCGAGCACCTAGGAACCATAATTTGTGTACCCAACCTCTTGGCGTTGAAGATAAACACTTCCTCTTTACTCTCCCACCTTCCTTGTGCATTTCCATGGTCTAGAACATAAGATACGAACCCGTAAAGTATGCACCATGAAATGATCCGAACACTTAGCCAAATTCTTCCGTTTTCCTTTCCAACGTTGGTTGATCTTTTGGCGAGTAATTGAGTCGCAGTTAGGGTATATCTTAGGATCATATCAGCCCTTAGTATGATTGATTTAGGTGACCTCCATATGGCTTCGCCGCAGATATTTTTAGTCTCCCATGAAAGAGGGTTTTGTTCGATATGACTTTGAGGATATGAGTTTCCTTGTTCTTGAGGTGTAGTTTATTCAGATGTGTGGTGGATATATGAAATCTTGACATTATCCGTATAAGCTTCTTGTAGAGGGATTTTGGCCTTTACCCGCAAAGTATGTGATTGACTTGATGGTTTAACAACCACTATTATTCAGATCTTTTTGCTGACGAAGTCTTGTTCGAAAATATTGGTGGATTTTTTTCCGGAATGTATCTTCAACTAGGTTTGTCCCCCAGTCTTGTTCACTAGCCGAGGCTATAATTTTCATGAGTGCAATATGGCTTGGAGATCCTTGTTTGGCCTCTAAATGTTGACTGCGATGGAGTTTCAGCTTCTGGCTTTCTCTCAAAATGATGAGTATTTTGGATGACGTGATTTTGGTTATAACGAATTTCTTATCATTGAAGTTTTCATACTTGAAGGTCTTTTTTGTTGTATCTTGAGATTGATATGCTAAGACCCTGACTTGGTGCAGGTATTTGGTACTTCAAATGCTAACCTGGGGCACCCAGATAGTAAGTCCCACGACATTTTGTTTGTTTTTCTTTTATCTTTGCTTTATTGCTTTTTTTTTTTTGCGTGTGGGACTTACTTAACTGTTTCATGCCCCCATATACGTTTCTCATTTTCTCTGATCTAGCACTTGTATTTGGTAGGACGGTTATGGAAAGGTAGAGAGTCTTCTTGATGAACGATGATGTGAGTGCCATTTCACAATAACTATATTAAATTGGCTGTTCTTTTTTGGTAAACGTAGGGATGCTGACGCCATGTGCTTGCCGGTATTGCACAAATATCTCACAATTGGACTTTGACGTGTGAGTTTAATGGACGCTTTTAC